CAGAGGGCCTGTATCGCTCACCTGGATACCTAAGCAATCATGGCAAAATATTCTCCAAATGAGATCAAGGGATTATGCCAGACCCCAAGGCCAATCCTTGTAGCATATCTGTATTAGATTTTTCATGCCCAGCAATTTTATATATGGTTATGGGGTGGGGATCTCAACTGTTTCCAAGCTTTGACTCAGAAACTAGGTCCCTAGGGTTGTGGCCAGACCCCAGGATCAATTCTAATATCATGACTGCATTCGTCTCTTTATGCCCAACAATTGTATTTATAGTTTTGGGGTCGGGATCTTAACCATTTCGAAGTTATGATCCAGGGGTTAAGTCTCCAAGGGTGGGGCAGTCCCCAAGGCCATCCTGGAAGCATATGTGCAATCATCTTTTTATACTCAGCAATTGTATATACGGTTATAGGGTGGAACTCTCAACTGTTGTCAAGCTGTGACTAAGAAACTAGGTCCTTTGGGGTTCGGTCAGACCCCAGGGTCTATTCTGATATCATGACTGCATTCGTCTCTTTATGCCCAGCATTTGTATATAGTTTTAGGGTGGGGATCTCAACAGTTTAAAAGTTATGACCCAGGGACTATGTCTCCAAGGGTGGGGCCAGACCCTAGGGCCATCCTTGGGGCAAATCCTGCATTCTTCTCTTTATACTCAGCAATTGTATACCATGGTTATATGGTGGGGATCGCAACCATTTCCAAGTAATACACCTTTTTTGGCCATGTTAAAAGATTTAAACACATTTGACCCCTGTCACCTTGAAAGTCAAACAAGGTAATTAGGTTGAAAAAACTTTATGGCTCTTCATCTCAGCATGTAACTTGCAAAATATCACCACCCTAGACATTTTGTTTATTGAGATTAGGTAACTTAAATGTTCATACATATTTGACTAAATGTGACAATGAAAGTGGGTCAGGCCAAGGTCATTCAAATGAACCAGGAAGCCATCAACCAAATATGAAGATTCTATACCTTTTAGTTCTTCTTCAGAAGTCATTTGATGTTTTTGACATATTTGACATATTTGACCCCTGTGACCTTGAAAGAAGGTCAAGGTCATTTTCATTCTTGAACTTTGCCGGGCTCTATCTCAGGAAACCATCAGCCAAATATAAAGATTCTATACCTTTCAGTTCTTCAGAAGAAGTTGTTTTAAGCATTAGACATATCTGACTCCTGTGACCTTGAAAGTAGGTCAAGGTCATTTTCGTTCTCAAACTTTGCCGGGCTCTATCCCAGGAAGCCACCAGCCAAATATAAAGATTCTATACCTTTCAGTTCTTCAGAAAAAGTCGTTTGAAGTGTTTGACACATTTGACCCCTGTGACCTTGAAAGTAGGTCTAGGTCGTTTTCGTTATTAAACTTTGTTGGGCTCCATCCCAGGAAGCTGCCAGCCAAAAAGGAAGATTATATTACTTTTAGTTCTTCAGAAGAACTTGTTTTTAACGTTTGAAATATTTGACCGCTGTGACCTTGAAAGTAGGTCAAGGTCATTTTCATTCTCAAACTTTGTTGGGCTCCATCCCAGGAAGCCATCAGCCAAATATGAAGATTCTATACCTTTTAGTTCTTCAGAAGAAGTCGTTTGAAGTTTTTGACATATTTGAACGCTGTGACCTTGAAAGTAGGTCAATGTCATTTTGAAAGTAGGTCAAGGTCATTTTCATTCTCAAACATTGTTGGGCTCCTACAAACAAAGCTTTCAGCCAAATATCATGACTCTAGGCCTGTCCGTTCTTCAGAAGAAGTTGTTTAAAGGTAAAGTTGACGGACGAGGACGTTAAATTTTGTAACTGTCACCAAGGTTTGACGTGTAATGATGCCAAATAAAATTACGATTTCTGTCTGTAACTAGTTATAAATCGGCACGCCTTGTGAAAAAGTAATACATTGCTGAAAAAGGGCGTTGCACTTGGGTTGGTTGTCTGGAAAATTATTGTTAATTTCGTCATAAATGCATTTTCCATTGCTTCTTTTATGAGTGGTGATGCATAAATAATGTAAAAACTATATCCAGACTTTCAAAAATGTCAATTATTTAGTTCATATTCTCAACAAACGGAAATCAAAAGCTGATGAAATTTTAAATGATCTCTTTTTTGAAGATATCTCCCAGTAGAAAAAACAACAGAACCGGGTTGGTGACAAAAAATGATCTTCAGAAAATATCCGCATTTTTACTTTTTGTGCCTGTGGAAAAAACTGAAAAAAAAGTCTTGAAGCACCAACAAAGAGATAAATGCAACGGACATCAGTTCCAGAATTTTCCGGTTATTTTTCATCCTTCCGGAAATAACCGATGAAGGCCGATGGATTGTGACGTGCTTGTGACGTTATAGTATGATAATCTCTGAATGAAGTTTCATGCCTGTAAGTATCACATTTTATTTGATGAACTTTTTTCACTCAGAATAAATATTATTTTTTATCTTAATAAACAAGTAATAAAACATGAAGATTGCTTTCACTATATATATGAAGAT